AAATGCCCTGCCAGTCCAGATGTGCTAGAATACTGGACACATCTGCATGGGACTGGCAGACAGGATATGGGACATATCTGAACCAGGACCTCAAGCAGCATTACCTATGGCAATGTAATGAGGACCAAACTACTAGTGACCTGTCCTCTTTGAAGCAACACAGATTGCTGCCTTTATTTTTAAAACAGAGGAAAAAACTCCAAAACGTTAGTCAAATTTTCACCTGTAAAACCTTCCATATTGAAGGGACAGCACACATGCAACCAAACAACTAATGGACTGTTACCAGTATGTGGATAATCAGCACGATGCTACGCTCAGATTTTATCAAACAGCTTGCACCCCCTTCTTTAGTGTTGTAATTTTAGTAAGTAATTTGGACAAACATCCACAACAAGCAAGATAACCAGCTTACTTTACTTATATCATGTCCTACCAAAACATGCAAGACATCACAAATCAGACTGAAGGACTGCTTCAGTTAATTTAGATGATTTCTTCTCATAAAGCCTATGCGTTCAAAGGCAGTGCCATGCTGACTACAAAGGCAGATGTTTCTGCAAAATGCCTGAAGAGATGATAACTTATCAATGATATTTTTGTTTTCCATGGCATAGATAGCTTCTGTGACGTACAGAAATTACTAAGAATTGTTCTCTAGTGTAGAATACAAAATTAACCAGAAATAACCCAAGGAAAGACTTCTAAATAGAAATCTAAGAGGCTTCGGGGAAAAAACCAAACAATCAACCAACCAACCAACCATAAAAATACCCAAATTATGCAAACCTCTTTCCATTCAGAATTCTTATTTTAGCACAACAATGATTAATATAATTTGTTCCCGTTTTTTAAAAACCAGAGCAGTACCAACTCTAACTTGCACGTAATTCACTTCCTATCTAATAATTTCACTGCAGTTCAGCATACTGCTGTAAACAACATCCATCTGAGCTATCAACCAAATGCTTACCCAAAGCAAGAACACTCATCTTACTTAGGCAGTTGCTACTTACATTTGTGATTTTTCTGATCTTCACTAAATCCTCAGGATTTTTACACAGTGTGGAGGCCAAAACAGTGTCTTGAAACTTATTTCTCTTCCCAAGATAAGTAACAGCAAATCCAGTGTTTGCTAACATACATGAGGGTAAAGTATGTGATCCTCATGCCAGTATTCCACATAAATAGTTACTTAGCCACAGGTTTTTTTGCCTAAATACCTTGAATAAGCCTAAAAATACCAACACCTGCCCTCAGGCGACAAAGTGTTGCTGAAAGAAAACCCCTAGCAGTCTTGCTGGGGTTTTGCTTCTTCCCATTTCACCTAAATAAGCTGGTCACAACATTCATTCTTTTGGCATGACATTCAAAAAAGCAGCTATGAGCGGAATAATCATGTAACTCCCTCAGAATCACGGATCAGCTTGTGTTATACTAAATACAGCTAAACTGACGAAATAACATGTTTTATCCAGCCATATAGTTACTGAAATTTAACATGTGAGAAACAGGTTACACAACTTTTACAATGTTACTCTTTGTACCATTTTACAGTTCAACAAACAATGTAAGTGGAGAGAACAAAACTAGTTAAATAAGGATATCTTATTTAACTCAAGTCAGGTATTCAACAATAACATTATGATATGTACTGCAAAAATAATTCCCGTTCAATTAGAAGGAGGGGAATTACTAAAGATTTTGGCTGTGGACACTATTACATTTAATTATTTCACTGTTGGTCAAAGTACATAAAAAGGAAAAATGAGAACTGCATTATGGTAACACTGTAAGACTTAGGATATTTCTTCATTCATCTCAAGATGATGGTACTGTTATTACTTCCCCTTCTACAATATTTAAGAGGTCTAATATAACCCACTGGGATATGCAGACCAAGCTCTAAGCTTTTCTTGATGTACCAACTGGCAAAATAAAACCCTGCTAATGGCAACTGCAAGACAAAACCAGTAAGAACCAAGAGGAATGATGCTTTGAATGCCTGAATATTACTATCAAGTCGAAAAAAGACTGAAAGCATACCAGTATCTCTATTCTTCTCCTATGCTCCTCTTTAGGTCCAGAAAGAAAATTGACAGGTAGAAATGACATTAATCTAGTCTTTGTCTAAAATAAACAAAGATCTCTGTGTAAGTTTTACCTCTTTCTTTCTAGCACGCTCAGCCTTTATTTTCTCATACTCTTCCTTTGCCTTCTGATTGGATGTTTTCTTCTTAAACTTCCCTTCAGTCACAACTGACCTGTAAGAAAAAGTACATGTACTTCAGACAAGGCCTGTCACCAAGGAGACATAACCACACATCCCACAGCCACTGCAGAATCACAGCAGTCTTCCACTCTTCCACTGGTTTTTTGCATATTCAGGGAAGTCAGTTACAAATACAGACTTCAGAAGGCTCATCCTCCTGCCCTCAATGGACACCTATTTGCACCACTCTTACATGATATCCAACGCCATACCATGCCATTTAGTGAGCAGTTTGCATGAAACTAAACTCCTTCAATGCCAAATGTACTGAACACTGAACTCCACACCACTTTTAGCAGCACATATACCTTATCTGATGGTTCTTGACATGGATGATGTTTCATGCAGCGTGCCTAAAGGAGTTTTTACCAAAATGTAAGCTCTGCAGCGCTAGAAAAACTGAATGCACTAGCTTAGACCTGTAGTCTCTCTTTCTAGTTCTGACATGTGGATGCAACTGCAGAGATACAAGGACAGCCAGCTGGTAGCAGACTGCCAGAGAAGTCAAATAAGTGAAAAAGAACAGTAGTAACAATGCCTTTCTAAAAGTTTCCTCTTGAATGGAATAGCATATTAATGTTCTGAAATTAGGTACTGAAAAAGTATATTGAAAAGATCCATAGTATTGTGAAATAAGGAACTCAAATTATGTTCCTTCCAGACTGTAATATAAAAAACTGCCCACATATCTTTTACCAAAGAAAACAAGAAGAAAACCAGTGCCATTTGTCTGACATTTACTACCACACTACTTTGAGGGGATTTTACTGGTTATTTAGCTCTAAATTTTTTTCTGATTTACAATAAAGCTGTTACATAAACCATGTGGGAGCAAAGGCATTTCACCCTTGAAAAATAGAAGCCTTGCTGGATATTTAATGGCTATTCACAAAGAAAGTTTTTGATTACTGTTTACTCACTAAAAAAAGTTGAAAACTAGCCAACACCATCAGGGAGGTTTCAGACGGACGATCAAAACCAAAGAGAAGGTATTTGCTCATAATTTCATTTAGAAATATCACTCTCTTCTGGAGAAAAGAAAAAAAAATTTCTGCCTTATGCTCATCCCCATCTTGTGGCAACACTGTACAATAACACCACATGTCTCAAGTACAAAACTACTTACATTGCAATTTGGTTTTCTAACAATCAGGGAAAATATTTAAGACTAATGGCAATTTTTTGTAAAGGAAATCACCATACTGAAGTCCATGTAAAGTGTGAGATCTAAAACATTCCTTCAGTGATGGAAACAATTATTTGTTTTTACAGACACATTTCAAGAACTTACTCTACTGCTTTATTAAGCTTTTCTTCTGATAAGACTGAATCATCTAGAGCTCTGCGCCGCTTCTTAAGCATTTCTTCCTCTGCTAGATAAAGGTGTTTCAAGTGCTCTGGATAGGTATCAGTAAACTGATTGTCCTGTTGTGAATGGAGTTTTCTTCCCTTTCTCTGTAACTTTCTGTATTGTCTTTCAATCTTTTGTTTCCGCTGAAATGCAAATCCTCGTCCTGAAAACATAAGAAAAAAGCAGTTCAATACACCTGCACTCAAACAGTACCAAACCACTCAGATGCTGCTGCAACCATTTCAATCCCATTTCCTTCCAGAATGGAAAAAGCTACTACTTGTATTAATTTTAATAAGGACCAATCACAAATTTGAGGGAAAACCCACTTGTTATAAATCTGTTTCCTACTGTAGCACTGCAGCTTGTACAGATTCATTGAAAATTACTGCCCATACCCTTGATGTTTTGCCTCTGCAAACATTGCTACCTAATGCCCACTCAACATTGTGCACCCTTGCCAATACTTTCTGAACCCAGTGAAAAGATGTATTAATGCTTCACTTCTCTCCTACTTTTGACAGCTCCTTCAGCAACACCAAAACAGATTCCAAAAGAGACTCCTAAAGATAGTCTCAAGAAGACACTGACAAAAATACTGTTAGCAGCAGCAATAGTCTGCAGCTGGTATAGCACAGGGATAAAGTCACTAAGTCACTTTATTTTGGTATGTTCATAATCCACTACATCTTTTCACTTAAGTAGCATTTTTATTGCTAGCACTTCCTATCTACACATGTCCAGAAAGAGCTTTTCTATGGTTTGAAAAGTTTGCTACATCATAGAATCATTTAGCCTTAATGGAAACAACAAATAATGTCTCTTTGAGTCTCAATCATTACAGAACAACTTATAAAAGATGAAGTTAAACATGCTTTTTCCCAAACATGTTAATGTTGGGTTTTATTGCATCAGCCTTAAGAGCTACTGACTTTCATAAGGTTTGTTAACAAAACAGTTTCAAGTCAAATTAGTCCGAACTTTTTAATTCTTCCTCCAAAGCTGAAAGTTCAGAAAAGTGCTGCTGAACTCAGCTATTTTCCTATTCATTTTCACATTTCCATATGTGAATGGAATCATTCTATCAATAGTCCGAACCTGTTTCCAAATATGTTTCTACTTTAACTGTACAACTCCACGCAAAACTAAAAGCAGTCCTAACACGGAGCACAATCGCAGCGTTGAGGCCCCACCAAACGCAGAGCCTGCAATGCCGAGGTCGTTCA